TCTCATATTGGAGGATCTTGGTGACTTACCTCAGCACAAGAGTGCTCTTGTTAGGGTTGAAAGATGATGAGGACCCGTTGGTGTGTGATGATGTGTTGTCTGATAATGAGTGGTTCATAGATGATGAGGCAGATTTATCATTATCAGACTTACAGGTAGAAGATCTAAATGTGGATGTATTGAGGGGCGAAGCAGATCAAACGGGTACATCCACTAGTACCACACCACACACATCTACTAGCTCTGCAAGTAAAGGTATATGTTCTCTGCCAGTCTGCCTGATAATGAGTGGTTCATCCAATTAATATGCTAATAATCTTTTCTTTTAATGAACAGGGAAGAGAAAAGTGAGTCATGTTGAAGATGAAGATGACATGGCATTCATAGATACAATTGGAGAAGAAGATTCACTTGAAGACTGATATTTTGTGATGGGATATGATTTCATTTTATATGTTTTTTGTATTTTGAGAGTTTTGTTAAACTGATATTTTGTGATTTTGTACTTTGGGACATAATTTTATTGCATCTACTTTCTTATTTTCCAATATTGCTATTATTTTCCTGCTAAAATCCTTAATTTTTCATTTACGCAATTCTGTGTTCGTGAGGCTTACGCCTCAGACCGCCTCGAGGCTTACGCCTCGCCTCACGGACGAAAACCGCCTCGAGGCGCAGTTACGCAATTTTAAACCTTGGTGGCCAGCGATAGTGGCGGTGGTGGTGATCGACGACAGCGGCGGTGGGGGTGACCGGTGGCCAACAATGGGTGGCGGGAGGCGATGGGTGGTGGCTGTAGGTTGTGGCTAGATGGGACAAGTGGCGGCTGGCGATGGTAAGAGAACTTGCTTGCTCTAAAAATGATTTTTGCTTAAAAGTGGATAAGTTTACTCTACTCCAAAAAATTAATTAAAACACTTTATAATGCATTTATTTTACTTTACTTTGCATTTCTTGTTCATCCAACCATACACCAATATTTTCAAAACACATGTAAAAAAGTTACTTTACACTCACTTTACTTCAAAACAAACAACCCCTAAATGAAATTGTTTTTCTTTTTATTCTTCATGAAATAAGTTTAGAAATTATTATCATTTAAGGAGTTTTATTCAAATAACCCTAAGATAGTCTTCTATTTTAATTCTTGAAAGCATTTATTACATTTGTGCTTTAATATTTTGGTTTGCTTGACTTTTGTTTTGTGGAAGTAAAGGTTGATGGTTATGGGATAGATTCTGTCGCTAAATTTTTCCTGGATTTTGGTTATACCATGATGGAAGAGTTGAGGTTTCCTGCTAAGAAATTGAAAGCATTATGGTTCGCACCTCCCAGTTATGATAATGGAAGCTACTTTGGGGGTCCTTTGCCGAGAATATTCATATCAGAACTTCTTGTCGATGAGATGAGTCCTCAAAGTCAGGTAAGAATAGCATGTATGATTTCACATGCTAAATTTAGAATATGCAGTTGTATTTTGCTGTATTTAATTGTCAAACAATTGAGAAATTATGGAAGAAATTTTATGAATATCAAAGAAAAAGGAATGTTTTTTTATTGGTACTTTGAATTTCCATCAATAGTTAGCAACAGCTCATGTTGATATTTATCATTATCAAAATTTTGAGTATTATTAGCTGCATTTGGGGTGGGTTGGGAGGATATTATACTGTATAATATAATGATTATCCATGAAGCCTTATAAAGGGCATATTAATGCATGATTCTTGAACAAATGTGTTGGTTAAGAGAAGAGGTTGATGTATGCAGCCTTACCTCTACATTATTAAGAAGTTGTTTCTGAAAATGTAGTCTCTAGGTCTCAATGAAGGCAAATTAGCGTATACTTTCCCTCCTAAAATGCCTAATCAGCTGGAATTTTACATGGAAAACCATTTGTAATTATAGTATCTTCTAAAGGATCTTTGTCATTATCAATATTCTCTATCTTAATTATCATCTATTTGGCATCAGTTCAAAGTATTGATTAGTTTCTCTTAAGAAAATAATTCAAAGACTTGTATTATTGTCTTGTCCCTTTCTGAGAGCTGAATTTACTGTATTTCACAAAATATATATCGAAATTGTTTTCAGCATGTAATCTTATCAGTCCATTGGTCAGCCGTGTAGTCCTATGTAATCAGAACATTAATTTTTTATTTATTCATCTTCTTTTTGAGTTATCTTCTATGATGCACAGACACGGACATGGCGACACGGATACGACACGACACGGACACAGGACACGTCAGTTATTGAAAATATAGGACACGTACACGGGTTGGACACGTTATTATAGTTTTAATATTTAAAAAATAGTGCATAAAAATTAAATAAGTATAATTTTAAAAATAATTTGAAAATAATAAGTCATTTAACTAGAATTGTGCTTAAAATGATTAGTATTAGGATGTCGAGAGTCAGGCGTCGATGTCGTTTATCTGTCACCGAGAGAGGAGATGAAAATACCTTCACTGCCAAAAGGAAATGAAAATGAGAATATTCGATGATTGAGTATTAAGTGCGGACGTTGATTTGGTGTTGTGGATAGGAAATAAGAAATTTATTTTAAATCCTGCCAAATACAAGAAATTATATTTAAACAAATTCATAAAATATTTAAGATACGCGTGTCGGACATGCGTGTCCAATTTGTATTTAATATTTATTAATCGGACACGTTTTCGACATGTCCGACACGTGTCGGAGGAGTGTCGGGCGAGTGTCGTGTCGGACACGGTGTCGGACTCTGCACGCCTCTTTGAGGAGAAGTGTCGGTGCATCATAGGTTATCTTTAATGTTTCATTATGTGGATTTAAAATTTGTAGGGTTGACCTAAATCAGTGCTTACGTTATTTTCATTATGATTTTGGGGGTCACAGTTGGAATCTTAGTAATAACCTCTTTACATTGCAAAGGTATGTTTGTGTACCCTTCCCCAGGATCCCACAGCAGTGATATTCTCATGTATTGATTATGGTCCTTCAAGGTTGTTCAATTCCTTTGCTTTTGTTTATTTATTCCCATCAGTTCTTATATTGAAGGTAAGATTAAAGTGAGTCCCCTTAGATGATTTGGTCACATAAAACGGCGGCCTTCCAATGACCCAGTTAGTAAAGTAGATGTATTGGATTTGACTTATATTAAGAAAGGTAGAGGTACCTAACAAGACTTGCTTAGGAAATATAAGAAATGACCTTTCTTTATTTGATTTGAATGAGAATTTGACACTTTACAGGCACAATAGAGAAGAATGATTCATATAGCCGACCCCACGTAGAGGGATAAAGACTTGATGTTATTGTTGTAGTTCTTATCAACTAACCTGTCTTTAATGAATCTAGTTTTCTTCATTCTTCTTATTTTGATAAAATGATTGTGAATTGCTCATGCATGCAGGCAGTGATCAAGAAGTATGTAAAAAATTTGGGAAATGCAAATAGATATGCAGCACTTGCAAGTACGTTGGGATGTTTAACTTGGGAAACACCCTCATATTCTGACTATCAGCAGCTAGCAAGGTCTTATTTTTATGCTTATCTAGTGTTTCGACTATTTATAAATCAGTTTGTCTAATTTTTCATACAAATGTGATAGATTTTCTTTTTTCTCCACTGTCATTGCCCTTCCAGCACCTCCTAGATCCCACCTCTCATGGCCTGGCACCTTGAAAATCTACAGACCGCCTTAATGACAATCTAAATTTACTGAAATAAGTTGCTGCTAACAATTTTCAGTTTACTTTTATCCAATTGATTATCTCAGGGAAAGTGAGTATGCTGCATGGACCCTTGTTAATGGTTTCACAGTGAATCATGTAACCATTTCTGTTCATCGTCTGAAGTCGCAAATTGGAAACATCAAAAGCCTAAACCACTTTATCAATGAACAAGGGTTTAAACTGAACTCTGAAGGGGGGATATTAAAAGGTTAGTTATTGCATATGTTGCTTAATGACTGATAAAATCATTTAAAGTTGATTTTTGTAAACTTTATTTATGCTTACAATGATATAATTGCATACATTTAAAATGAATGGCTGAGTGTGCACCTCAAATAGTTGGGATAAGGCCGTGGCTCTTTTTTATATTGATGATTCACATTTTACTTGAAGAGTCTCTAACCACCTCTACTACCATAGCTGCTCGCCTAAAACATTGAAATTAAAATGAATACACGGATAACTCTATTAAAAACGAAAATAGTTTCATCTCTTTTTCTCTTTTGGGAAAAGAAAGCAATGATGATGCTAATACATCAACAACAACAACATCAAGCCTTTATCCCACTATGTGGGATTGACTACATAAATCATTTTTCTCCATTGTGCTATATTAAAAGTTAAATTCTCATTTCCATCTGAAATGATGATGCTAATGTAAAAGAAAAAAAATACAGCAAACGGTTACAATACTTTACGTTTGTTTGATTGCAAAATGCTATGCAACCAATGATACAGAGAAGGTGATTTTGTCAGCGAGATGGCTTGGAAGCTATGTTGCACGAACACGGACATGGCGACACGGACACGCGACACTGCTTTTTTTTAAAATATAGGACACGGGTATGGCACGGATACAACATTACATTTTTTTTATATAGTGTATAGATATTAATGTAATGTCATTATAAATGACAAACAAGCTTATAATAAAAAATGTTTAGTACAAAATGTCTCGTACAACCTAAAAAATATAAGCAAATAATCATTTATTACAACATCAAGCATTTAAGCTTCAACTACTTAAATTAGCTTCATAGGTTTATTTTTGGACTTCAATATCATCATTATTATTGAATATCATTGCTTCTAACTCTGGTTCATCAAGAGAAAGATTTGCAATAGTTCATCGGGTATCATATAATGAAAGTGGGTTCTTCTTTGTATCTATATACTTCTCTTGTTCGCTAGTTCTTTCCCATAATATTTTTAACTTCTAATCTAAATCACGAAGAATGTATCTATTTACTTATATAATTCTCTAGTTCTCTCTCATAATAGTTCTTTGGATATCATATATTAATCTTTATTCTATTAATCTTAAATCTTTTATATTCTAAATAATTTTTATATCATTCTAACTTTTCACCTATTTCAACAAATCCCATCTACTAGAACTACAATAAGGAACCCACATAAAGATTTTCTAGACATAATCAAAATTTTCTTATCCCGTGTCACTAAAAATTGCAAACACATGTAAGCATAAAGGTTTTCAATAATCATTAATGCCTCTAAAAAAAAAAAGATTTATTCTCTAATAATCATGCCTTTCAATAATCGTATTGATGCATATATGAGCGAATGTGATGCTTTATTTGATTTAGTAAGTATATAAATATAAAATTTTATAATTTAAAATAAATTTATCATAAAAAATTAGGATACGCGTGTTCCAGCCGTATCCGACATGTGTTCCAGCCGTATCCGACACGTGTTCCAGCCGGTTCCGACACGTGTTCCAGCCGGTTCCGACACGTGTCCCAGCTGGGTTGGGTTAAATTTAAATGTTATTTTAATCGGACACGTGTCTGCTATGTCCGACATGTGTCCCAGTCGTGTCCGACATGTGTCCGACACGTGTCCGACACCGTATGCTCTCTTCAAGAGGTGTGTCGGTGCATGCTTGGAAGTTTGCTTATAAATTTAGTGAGTGAAAACTACATTCTACTAATCTTTTTTGGAACTTCTATTTGATAACTATGTCAATTTAATGGGTATTTTTTATGTATTCGAAATATCAGATGTTAAGTATGCTTGAAGCTCTTTGTTTGTTATATTTTACTCTGTTTCATTTAATACGGTAGCATGATCTGCATTTGGTATTGAGTTCCAAATGGAGTGAAACGATGAACCTTACAATAAAGCTTCGAAATTGTCTTGTCCATTTATATTAACTGTTATATTTTGAAATTAATAACGGATTTCTCTAGATCTTGTAATATGTGGACACCACAGTTAATCGCACTGCAGACTTCATTTATTTTGGTTAATGCTGAAATCATTTCAATAAATTATTTCCTTTATTTCCGTTGATCTAGCATTCTCAACCTTGAGTTCTTTTATTGCTCTGATTAGTGAGTCCTGATGGCCTTCTGCTCCAGAGCTCAACTGTGGCTGATTCTACAATTTTCAACTTCAGTGATGGTGTTAGCGAGCCTGTCCCTTGTTCGTACATTGAATTTGCGGAACGACTTGTACTCCCTCAGTATACAAAATTAACCAATGAAGAGGTCTGGCTTCTATCCAAAATTTTACTATACCTTTTAAAGGCTTCACTGTACTCTTTTACTTCTTAAAGGTTTAGATTTCTGACTTCCTGTGATCTACAGATGCGTTATATTTTCTTAGTATTCCCCTTACACTGTAGGATTGTGTTTTAATCTTGCAAGATTTTGTTTGTTTTTCCTCCCTTTCGTTTCCCATTTAGCTGGACTGGTTTCGCTGACATCTAGGGCTATTATGTAATCTACTAATGCGGGAAATAAAGCAGTTATGATATTCTAGTTTCTTTGAAAGGTAGACCAAATAAAAGTTTTTTCCCAAATAGTTTTATGTCATTGAAAACTGCTGCCACTATATATTTTTTGCCACCACAAAACATTGCCGTTGCCAAGTCTTAAGTTCTGGATGAGAAAAATGGAGGGTTATGTTAAGTGTTTGATAGCCAGCTTAAAATTTGTCAATTAATCATGACATGTATCATGATAAAGTTCCAAGAGAAGTGCTAGTTCTAGAAAAGAAAAGGGTTAAAAATGCTTATTTTCAAGTAATTAAGGATATGTATGCAGGAGTTGTTACTTATGTTCAAATGCAAGTTCGTTTGACTAAGTATTTTCCTATTTCAGTTGGATTATATCAAGGATCATCCTTAAGCCCATATCTTTTTGCTTTAGTCATGGATGTTCTCACCAGATATTTGCAAGAGGTTGTACCGTGATGTATGCTTTTTTGTTGATGATATTCCTCTTATTGATAATACTAGAGAGGGAATTGAAGGTAAATTTGAGTTATGGAGGTCAGCATTAGAGTCTAAGGGCTTTCGTTTGAGTAGATCTAAAATTGAATATATGGAGTATAATTTTAGTAATAATAGATATAGTGGGGGGATTGTGACTTTGGATGATTAAATCATTAATAAGAGTACACACTTTAGATATCTTGGGTCTATTATTTAAAGTGATGGTGAAATTGATGGGGATATTATTAGTAGAATTCAAGTTGGATGGTTGAAGTTGAGGAATGCATCGGGCTTGTGTGATAGAAAAGTCTCCTTCAAAGGGAAAATTCTATAAGATGCTGGTGAAGACCTATAATGCTTTATGATGCAGAATGTTGGCCATTAAAAGAGAAGAATAATATTAAGTTAAGTGTTGCAGAGATGAGGATGATCAGGTGGATGAGTGGCTTTACTCTTAGAGGCAGGATACGAAATGAGCATATACGTGAAAGGTTGAAGTAGCTTCAGTGGAAGATAAGATTAGAGAGTGTCGTCTTAGATGGTTTAGGCACATAAAACGGCATCTTTCCAATGACTCGGTTAAGAAAGGAGATTTATTAGATTTAACTTATGTTAAGAGAGGTAGAGGTAGGCTGATAGGAAGTAATCATTTAAAATAGAAAAAATTTTCGCTGAAAATATAAGTTCGGCAACTCTACAAGCAGATTTTGAGAAGATAGTAGAGTAATTACAAAGAAACACTCTTAGTTGGATAGTAGATGAAGAAAACAAATTACAATGGATCTTCAATTCAAGAGGAAGATCCGGCTCTCCCAATCCCTATTTGACGGCTAGAGCCCAAATAAACTTAAGAGAGATCTCAAATTTTAACAAAATTCATGATGTCATGACCCTAGGAAAACATACTACTTAATACATACAATCCAAAAGAAAATATTTAAACAACCCCTACTTCGAATATTCCCTCCTAAGTCCCTCCGAAATTCTTCGTAATTGGCACTACTGGGCCCCACATTTTGGGCGGTAGCAGGAGTTTTGCCTCATGTAAACACAGGTCGGTTTACTATGGATTGGCTGGACCGGTGTAACAATACCTCCCTCCGAAAGACCCACCTTGTCATCAAGATGGAATGATGGAAATTGATGCTTCACTCTCTTGTATGTTTCCCAAGGGGTGTCATAGTCGGGTAGGTTATTCCATTTGATCAACACTTCCTTGATCCCTCCTCCTCCCTGTCATACCCTTTTCAACTCCATTGGTTTGAGCATCGCCTCCATATTTTTCGTCTGAACTAGCTGCATGCTCCCGGCTCCCCAATAGCTCTCCTAAACTAGGAGACGTGAAACACCGAGTGTATGGTAGCAAATGGGGGTAATCTTAATCGGTAAGCCATAGTTATGATGCTCTCCAATATCTTGTAATAACCAAAGTATCTTGGTGCCAGTTTTTCATTCCTCATGTTCGCTAATATGTTCAGTCTGTAAGGACGGAGCTTCAAGAATACTTTATCCCCAACTGCAAATTGGATGTCCTTTTTGTGCCCATCTTTTTGCTTATTCATAATTTGATGAGCCCTTGGCAGGTGCCTTTTTAATTCGTACAGCACTTTATCCCTTTCCTCCAAATACTGCTCTATTGAAGAGGGTGGTGTGCTACTTTGTTCAAAATACACAAAGTGTGAGGGGTCTAATCCGTACAACACTTTGAAAGGTGTCATCTGGGAGGCTGAGTGGTACAACGTATTGTATCAGCACTTCGACCATGCTAGCCACGTGGCTCATAACTGAGGTGTCTCAAAAAAAAAACATCATAGCTCATTAGGTTATACAACCACCTCTAATGCTCCTCACTCACTATCCTCTGCTCTTACAAGTATTTCAAGCTCTTTTGATCTGTCATGACAACGAAGTGCCGGCCCAATAAGTATGGTTGCCACTTATGGATTTCTAAAATGGTGGCCATCAACACTCTCACGTAGACTAACTTCAACCACACTCTGACTGTCAATACTTGATTGAAGTATGTTATAGGTCTGTGATTCTATATAAGGACTACTCCTAATCCATACCCTGAGGCTTTAGTCTCTATTACAAAAACATGCTTGATATTTGGTAGGGCCAACACTGGCATAATGGTCATGGTCTGCTTCAATCTCTCAAAGGCTCAAGTAGCTCCCTCTCCCCACAAGAAACTATTCTTCTTCAACTGGTCCATCAATGGCCAGACTATGGAACTGTATCCTCTCACAAATCTTCTATAATATCCCGTTAACCTTAGGAAATCTCTCAACTCCCTCAAATTCTTAGGTAGAGGCCATTTCAGCATTGTCTCGATCTTGGCTTAATCGGTGGCTACTTGCCCCTGAGATATCACTTGCTCCAAGTAGTCAACATTGGCCTGTGTAAAACAATACTTATTCAGGTTGTCCCTCAGTTGTTGTTCCTATAACATCTCTAAGACCATCCTCAAATGCTCCAAATGCTCCTCTTATATTCTGTTGTACACCAGGATGTCGTCAAAGAATACCTATACAATTTTTTTGAGGTATGGTTTGAATACCCTGCTCATAAGGGACTGGAAAGTGGCAGGGGTGTTATTGAGGCCAAACGACATCACTAAAAACTCGTAGTGTCCCTCATATCTTGAATGTAGTTATTAGGACATCCTCTCTCATCTTGGTCTGATGATAACTCGAGTTCATATTCTTCTTGATGAACATTACTGCACCAAATAGCTCACCCAATTGCTCATCGATCACTTGAATGGTGAATTTGTTCGACATAGTCTCCTTATTCAAGGCCTGGTAGTCCATACAAAATCTTCAGCTCTCATTTTTCTTCTTGACCAGTAAGACTAGGCTAGAAAAGGGTTCACATTTGACCTGATGAACTTTGCCTCTAGCATCTCTCAGATCAGCTTCTCAATCTCATACTTCTAAATTTGGGGGTAGCGATAAGGCCAAACACTATTCGGTGACACCGCTCCCCTCAAGGTGATGGTGTGCTCTTGCTCCCTCGGTGGTGATAAGCCTTGAAGTGGTTGAAAAATCTCACTGAACTGCTATATGAGTGGCTATACTGAAAGAGAAATGTCTTCCTCAAATCTAATCCCTTCTAAACTCTATTGTTCTACCAGAAATCCTCCCCACACATCTTATATGACCCAGACTATGGTTTTGAGAGACACTATGGCCTTGGACAACTTTACTTCTCACCGGATCACCATCCTTCATCCCTCCACCACCATCACCACCAGCGTTAGTGCTCCCCAATTGACCTTGGTATCTCCCAAGGTTTATGGCCACTTTATCCCCATGATTACATCAATGCTCCCTAACTCCAATGGGAGAAAATCCTACCTAACCTAAACCCCCTGTATAGTCAGCACAGCTCCCATACACACTCCAATACCTATCTCCGCCTTCTCAGTGCCCATCATTATCCCGTAGCCCCCAGTGTCCACCAATTTCACCCCTAGTTGTTCAGTGACCTTATTCGAGATAAAATTATGGGTAGCCCCTACTGTCGATCAATACCACTACCTCTATGTTTGATATTTATCCTTTCACTTTTATGATGTGAATTGGGATGAACCCCACCACTTAGTTTAAGGAAACTTCGGCCATGTCAAGATGCAATTTTTATTCCTCTACCACTATCTCGCTCTCACTTCCCTCAGCTTCCTCGTCATCACAAACGGTGAGAACCTGAAGAGTTCGGTCCTTACACCTGTGCTCTGACATGTACCTCTCATCACATATGAAGCACAATCCCTTTGCACATTTGTCCTGCATCTCCTTCTCAGTGAGCTTCTTGAAGTTTTCCTCAAATCCCCCTCCTCCTACAGGTCTCTTCTTTGGGGCCTCATGAAGGCTTCTCGGTGCTAGTCCCTTGAGAGCTAAGAAAGTGTTGGCAATCCTATACGAGCCTCATGAACTACTGCCTCTGGCCCCTTTCTCAATGTATTTTTGATCATCCACTAGCTGTGCTAGTTCCATAGCCTCTCCTAAGTCACGCTCCTCATTACTCTAACTTTCGCTAAGATCTTAGGTTTGAGCTCCTTCATGAAGTTTCCCTCTAGCACAATGTTATGCCTATTTAGATTTACAAAAGGAGGATTGGTGGGGTCCGCCCCATTTAATGCTGCCGCCCATTTGGAGCAATGGGGAGAAGGGGTTTTGGGAGGCTAGTTTGAGAGGGAAAATTTAAATGTGAGATGTTTGAAATTAGGAAATAAATTGTATTAGTAAGGGGGCTGGTTGGAGGGAGTTT